GCTGCTGAGTGCCCTGGGAGCTTCTGCTGAGGGAGCCTGCACACTGTCTGTGGCTGCGTGTCCCTGGAGGCTGTCTGCTGCTGAGTGCCCTGGGAGCTGCTGCTGTTGTCTGCTGATCACTGGTTGTCACTGGAACGCTGACCACTGGTCATCCCTGTCTGGAGCCGCCTGCCGCTGAGGGTCTGCAAGCTGCTTACCTTGAGTGTCCTGAACTCTCCCCGCTGTGTGCACCGACCACCCCCGTGTCCTGAACTGTCCCCGCTGTGTGCACCGACCACCCGTGTCCTGAACTTTCCCTGTTGTGCGCACTGACCACCCGTGTCCTGAACTGTCCCCACTGTGCGCACTGACCACCCGTGTCCTGGACTGTCACTGTTGTGCACACTGACCACCCGTGTCCTGAACTGTCCCCACTGTGTGCACCGACCACCCGTGTTCTGAACTGTCCCCTGCTGTGTGCACCGACCACTGTGTCCTGAACTGTCCCCGCTGTGTACACCAACCACCACCGTGTTCTGAACTGTGCCTGCTGTGTGTACCGACCATCGTGTCCTGAACTGTCCCTGCTGTGTGCACTGACCACCCGTGTCCTTAACCGTCCCTGTTGTGCGCACTGACCACCTGTGTCCTGAACTGTGCCTGCTGTGTGCACCAACCACCCGTGTTCTGAACTGTCCCCGGTGTGTGCACCGACCACTCGTGTCCTGAACTGCCCCACTGTGTGTGCACTGACCACCCATGTCCTGATGGCAGGCCCGGAGTATAGCTACCTGTGGTGCCCCTGAGTGCTTGAGCCATCGCTACCCGTTGAGTCCCCGTGAACCCAATGACCCTAGAAAGCTGGGTGGGAGCTGTGCTGTGGCCAGTCTCCACAGCTAGAGTCCCGTTGAATCCCCGAGGCCCCTGCCCAGTGGTAGGTTGCGCCTGTTGCCCGAGGCCCCTGCCCAGGGGTAGATTGCTGTTTGTTGCCCGAGGCCCCTGCCCAGTGATAGGTTGCCGCCTGTTGCCCAAGGCCCCTGCCCAGTGGGTAGGTTTGCCGCCCCTGTTAGGTTGCCCCCCGAGCCCCTGTCCAGGGGTAGGTTTTTGCCGTCTGTAGGCCCGCCTGAAGCCCCCTGCCCAGTGGTAGGTTTGCCGTCTGTTGCCCGAGCCCCTGTCCAGGGGTAGATTGCCATTTGTTGCCCGAGGCCCCTGCCCAGTGGTAGGTTGCCGCCTGTTGCCTGAGCCCCTGTCCAGGGGTAGGTTGCCGTCTGTTGCCCGAGGCCCCCTGCCCAGTGGTAGGTTGCCGTCTGTTGCCCGAGCCCCTGTCCAGGGGTAGGTTGCCGTCTGTTGCCCGAAGCCCCCTGCCCAGTGGTAGGTTGCCGTCTGTTGCCCGAGGCCCTGTCCAGGGGTAGATTGCCGCCTGTTGCCCGAGGCCCCTGCCCAGTGGTAGGTTGCCGTCTGTTGCCCGAGGCCCTGTCCAGGGGTAGATTGCCGTCTGTTGCCCAAGGCCCCTGCCCAGTGGTAGGTTGCCGTCTGTTGCCCGAGCCCCTGTCTAGGGGTAGATTGCCGTCTGTTGCCCGAGGCCCCCTGCCCAGTGGTAGGTTGCCGCCTGTTGCCCCCGAGGCCCAAGCCCAGTGGTAGGTTGCCGCCTGTTGCCCCTGAGACCCCTGCCCAAGGGTAGATTGCCGCCTGTTGCCCGAGGCCCCCTGCCCAGTGGTAGGTTGCCGTCTGTTGCCCGAGCCCCTGTCCAGGGGTAGATTGCCATCTGTTGCCCGAGGCCCCCTGCCCAGTGGTAGGTTGCTCGAGTCTCCAATCCGCTGTCCAGTCACGGAGGGAGCTCGGCTGAGGCCCCAAGCCTGGGGGGGGGGGGGAGATTGCCTGCCTGTCGCTGAAGACCCCCCCCCCCCCCCCCAGCCTTGAATCGTCCCTGGTTTGTGCACACATCACCCTCCCTGCCATTTCCCTATTGAGTGTCTGTCAATTTGTTGCATCAATAAAGTTTTGTGTGTTCCCCATCTTCTCCGTGTGCTCTGTCCTGCCTACACTTCCGTTACAGTCCCTAACTCACATTCATACATACACATATTAGGGCAATTTAGACAGGATCCAATTAACCTACCAGCATGTCTTTGGAGTGTAGGAGGAAACCGGAGTACCCCGAGGAAACCCACGCAGGCACAGGGAGAACATGCAAACTCCAGGCAGGTGGTGCCGTGGCTGGGATTCAAAACAACGACCCGAGTACTGCCATGGGGAAGTGCTAACCATTTAGCCACTGTGCTGTGTTGCATCTATCCATCGAAATGCAAGACTAGGTTTGCGTTGACCTCAGATTTCTCCCCACTGACTAATATCCTCTTTAATCCCAACCTTCCAGATAGTTTGTCCATGCCCCGGGTGCTCCCTTGGGTCACAGCCAATCTCTTCCAACTACGCCACTTAGTACATCCTGTGACTTGGAAGCTGCAACCATTCTCATACCTCCAGAAAAAAGATCTGCCTTCCCAACATTTATATATCTATCTCCAGATACGCCACTTTTCTCTACCATGTCCCCCACATTGACTCTTGGGAAACTCACTCCCTTTGAGGGTCTGTGCATACAAGGTCCACATCAAAGGGGCATAATTTCTAATACATACAAACTTCTTATGGATGCTCCCCCCTCTCTAACGACACTCATCATTACATGCGCAAGTGGCCCCAGTTTTTGGTACAAAACTCCCGATGTAATTCATGCCTTAACCCGAATGCTTCTTCTGCCTGCTGGCGTTGCGGGAAAGACTTTGGCTCCCTCTTCCACATTTTTTGGATTGTGGATCCATTGTTCCTTTTTGGGAAGAGGTTTTGTCCTTTTTACAATTGCTGTTGCAGACCTCCCTCCCCTTTTGAGCCCCTATCCTTTTTATTGAGTCTGCCATTCCCAGGTCTTCCCAAAATGGCGGCTAGAAGAAGCATTCCGATGTGTTGGCTATCCTCTATACCTCCTTCTATGTCAACTCTGTTTAAAATTATTGCTGATGTGAGACAGATGGAGTACCTGACTGCTTTACACGCCTGTTCGATTGCTGTGTTCGAGGCAGTGTGGCACCCATGGGATAATTTCACTTCCTCCCACCTTTCTCCAAATGTACGGTTCTGATGGCCTCCCCACTGTTGCTATGTGACACTATTATGTTTGTAACCATGCAGCTTTTACTATCGATGTGCTCCCTCTTTCCCTGTGTTCCTCTTTCAATTTACTGTTTGTATATATATATGTACAGTGGGGATGGAAAGTTTGGGCACCCCAGCTAAAAATTTGTATTAATGTGCATAAAGAAGCCAAGGAAAGATGGAAAAATCTCCAAAAGGCATCAAATTACAGATTAGACATTCTTATAATATGTCAACAAAAGTTAGATTTTATTTCCATCATTTACACTTTCAAAATAACAGAAAACAAAAAAATGGCGTCTGCAAAAGTTTGGGCACCCTGCAGAATTTATAGCATGCACTGCCCCCTTTGCCAGGCTGAGACCTGCCAGTGTCATGGATTGTTCTCAATCATCGTCTGGGAAGACCAGGTGATGTCAATCTCAAAGGTTTTAAATGCCCAGACTCATCTGACCTTGCCCCAACAATCAGCACCATGGGTTCTTCTAAGCAGTTGTCTAGAAAACCGAAACTGAAAATAGTTGACGCTCACAAAGCTGGAGAAGGCTATAAGAAGATAGCAAAGCGTTTTCAGATGTCAATATCCTCTGTTCGGAATGTAATTAAGAAATGGCAGTCATCAGGAACAGTGGAAGTTAAAGCAAGATCTGGAAGACCAAGAAAAATATCAGACAGAACAGCTCGCAGGATTGTGAGAAAAACAATTCAAAACCCACGTTTGACTGCACGATCCCTCCAGAAAGATCTGGCAGACACTGGAGTTGTGGTCACTATTCCACTATAAAGAGATACTTGTACAAATATGGTCTTCATGGAAGAGTCATCAGAAGAAAACCTCTTCTACGTCCTCACCACAAAAATCATCGTTTGAACTTTGCAAATGAACATATAGACAAGCCTGATGCATTTTGGAAACAAGTTCTGTGGACCGATGAGTTTAAAATTGAACTTTTTGGCCGGAATGAGCAAAGGTACGTTTGGAGAAGAAGGGGCACAGAATTGAATGAAAAGAACCTCTGTCCAACTGTGAAGCATGGGGTTGGATCAATCATGCTTTGGGGTTGTGTTGCAGCCAGTGGCACAGGGAACATCTTACGAGTAGAAGGAAAAATGGATTCAATAAAATTTCAGCAAATTTTGGATGGTAACTTGATGCCATCTGTGAAAAAGCTGAAGTTAAAGAGAGGATGGCTTCTACAAATGGATAATGATCCTAAACACACCTCGAAATCCACGGGGGATTACATCAAGAGGCGTAAACTGAAGGTTTTGCCATGGCCTTCACAATCTCCTGACCTCAACATCATTGAAAATCTATGGATAGACCTTAAAAAGAGCCGTGCGACAGACAGCCCAGAAATCTCAAAGAACTGGAAGACTTTTGTAAGGAAGAATGGGCAAAGATACCTCAAACAAGAACTGAAAAACTCTTGGCTGGCTACAAAAAGCGTTTACAAGCTGTGATACTTGCCAAAGGGGGCAGTACAAGATATTAACTCTGCAGGGGGCCCAAACTTTTGCAGACGCCATTTTTTTGTTTTCTGTTATTTTGAAAGTGTAAATGATGGAAATAAAATCTAACTTTTGTTGACATATTATAAGAATGTCTAATCTGTAATTTGATGCCTTTTGGAGATTTTTCCATCTTTCCTTGGCTTCTTTATGCACATTAATACAAATTTTTAGCTGGGGTGCCCAAACTTTCCATCCCCACTGTATGTGAAAACCAATACAAATTGTTACTATAAAATGGAATTACTCTTAAATACACACTGTGACATATAGGGATGATGTGAAACAAATTCAGAATGAGGCTGATTCATTTTTAGCGAATATTTCTGCTCCCCTCCACAGATCAGACTGAAGTGGTTGCTTCCCTCTATGGCACGGTCATCCTCGGCTGCTCATTTCCCTTCATACGTGGGACGGAAGGTCTGGTAGTGGTCTGGGAGAAGATTGGTCTGGATGGAAAAGGATTTATCGCACACAAGTTCAAGAACGATCAGGACAGTCCCACAGATCAGAATGTAAGCTACACAGGACGCACAGAACTGTCCAAAGAATTCTCCAACGGAGCAGTGAACCTGACACTGCGAGAGGTCACCTTCAATGATGAAGGGACATATTACTGCCGAGCAGCCAATAGAAGAGGCCATGGTGACAAGAAGGTGAACTTAACCATAAACCGTAAGTTCTGCTCCACCAGGTCCATGACCTAAAATATGCAGTTTATCTGGTTCCTCAGTTAACCAGCACTATAATATTATGTATACACTATATTGCCCGCAGTATTGGGCCTCTTGCCTTCCCACACACATGACCTTTAATGGCCCCCCAGTCTTAGTCAGGGTTCAATATTGAGTTGGCCCCGCCCTTTGCAGCTATAACAGCTTCAACTCTTCTGGGAAGGCCGTCCACAAGGTTTAGGAGGGTGTCTATGGGAAGGTTGGACCATTCTTCCAGAAGCACATTTGTCAGGTCAGGCACTGATGTCGGGGGAGGAGGCCTGGCTCACAGTCTCCACTCTAATTCATCCCAAAGGTGTTCTATGGGGTTGAGGTCAGGACTCTGTGCAGGTCAGTCAAGTTCCTCCACCCCAAACTGGCTCTTCCATGTCTTTATGGACCTTGCTTTGTGCACTGGTGTGCAGTCATGTTGGAACAGGAAGGGACCATCCCCAAACTCCTCCCACAAAGTTGGGAGCATGAAATAGTCCAAAATGTCGCCTTTCTCTTCACTGGAACTAGAGGGCCAAGTCCAACCCCTGAAATACAACCCTACACCATAATCCCCCCTCCACCAAACTTTACATTTGGCACAATGCAGTCAGGCAAGTACCGTTCTTCTGGCAACTGCCAAACCCAGACACGTCCATCAGATAGCCAGACAGAGAAGTGTGATTGGTTACTCCAGAGAACACGCCTCTCCTGCTCTAGAGTCCAGTGGCGGCGTGCTTTACGCCACGGCATCGGACACTTTGCATTGCACTTGGTGATGGAAGGCTTGGATGCAGCTGCTCGGCCATGGAAACCCATTCCATGAAGTTCTCTACGCACTGTTGTTGGGCTCATCTGAAGGCCACACCAAGTTTGGAGGTCTTTAGCTATTGACTCTGCAGACAGTTGGCGACTTCTGCGCACTGTGCGCTTCAGCATGCGCTGACCCCGCCCTGTCATGTGACGTGGCCTACCACTTGGTGGCTGAGTGGCTGTTGTTCCCAGTTGCTTCCACTTTGTTATAATCCCACTAACAGTTGAGCGTGGAATATTTAGTAGCCAGGAAATGTCACGGATGGACTTATTGCCCAGGTGGCCACCTATCACGGGACCACGCTTGGAGTCACTGAGCTCCTGAGAGCGACCCATTCTTTCACCAATGTTTGTAGAGGTAGTCTACACCTGAATCCAATGATTTGGCGGGGGTCCCAATACGTTTTAGCAATATAGTGTAGTTTGGTGATAGTGGACCTACTGCACAGCTTGCACACATGATGGTGGTCTCTGTGACATATGCTCTGTAACTCATAATGTGCTCACTGTATCATCAGATCTGTTTTTTTTTTATCATTAATAGGGAGCTGGACATTTCTTGACAAGAGTGGATATATACCCTAAGTCTATGCTTTTTATTATTATAATTATTATTAAAGAGATCCCGTCAGGTCTGCCAGTTCCCTGCAAAAGAAGAGGTATTACACTCACATCTCCTACCTTCGCTCCTTTCCATCACTGTTGCCAACATAAGTGTCCTTGGCATTCCACACTTCTGAGAGTGTCAGATACCTGAGCTCCTGCCATAGACCTTGGTTTCTTCCTCTGGCCACCAGATCAATACAAGACATAGCAAAGACATAGGAAACGGAGGATGGAGCCACTGTATGGCTGCAGTGCTGGAATGGAGGAGAGGTAGGAGGCTGTTGAGATCTGTGTTCATTTGATCTGAAACCATTTATTACATCATTTTGCTTGTACAGTCTCAAGGAGCCGTACTGACTAGGCCTACACTGTTGTTTTCACTTTGAGCAATTAAAGCTTCAGTAATACTGTGTTCTCATGTATTGTACAGAAGGCAAAATATGAATTTTATGAAGGCAGAAATTCCTCATCAATAACTTATGATCTCGGAGCTCCCAACTGGAGAATTTGCATAAAACAGTACTACTATCATTCTCATTCTCAAGCTCCATATTTGCAGGGTGTACATATGGTGTTTCCGGAGCCTTGAAAAAGTCTTCCTCCCTCCTGAAATGTCCCCCATGTTGCCATGTGACAACCAGAACAGTCAATGTACTTTATCGGGATTGGATGTGATAGACCAACACAAAGTGGCATATAATTGTGAAGTGGAAGTAAAATAAGAAATGGTTTCCAACATTTATGACCAATAAATCTGTGAAAAGTGTGGTGGAATTTGTATTCGGCCCCCCGGAGTCAATACTTGGAGGACCCCCTTTGGCTGCAATTCCAGCTGCAAGTCTTTTTGGGGATGTCTCTTCCAGCTTTGCACATCTAGAGAGGGACTGTCACGTACCTGATGGGAGACTGAAATGACGAAGTCGGCCTCACTTGTGTCACTAGCTCTGACACCCCTGGAGTTGGAACAGTGGGAGTCTAGGACCCAGGGGAACAAGAGTGCCAGTAGTTGTTGTTTGCAGCTCTTGCAGATGAAGACCTTGGAAGGCTGATGATCCTCTGATTTTGGCACAGTAGTAGTAGGTAGAGCAGGTTTGTAGATTGCCAGGCGTGCACCAGAGCAAGGCAGGTAGTGAGGACAAGAGACAGGAGCAGTGTCATGGGATAGCCAGGGTCATCAACAGTCGGGCAGCGCGGTACAGAATAAGGAGGAAAGCCAAGGTCAGGAGCAGAGCGAAGTCAGGAACCAGGAGCAGGAGAGCAATCAGAGTCAGGTGAGGAACAAGCCGGGTCAGCAACAAAGGAATCACACAGGAACAAGCAGGACACGGGGGGAGCTGAAGACCAGTCAGCACTGAACATGAGCAGAGACACTCTTTAAATAGGCCGTCTGGCACCAATCTTTGCCGTACGTATGCTTGCGTGTGCACGATCGTGCATTCCTGCACGCATGCGCACAACCGGCAATTCTCCTGCGAGAATTCCTATGCGCATGCGTATTTCTGATCGCAATTCTTCTTGCCGGAAATCCCTTACATTGCCCCCTTCTTAGGGGCAGCCTCCGGATGCCCACTATGGCTCGTTTTTCGGGGTGAAGATGGAGGTAGGCTTAAACTATCCGTGGGACATAGACATTAGTGGATGGTTCCCAGGAATTATCCTCTGGTCCATAACCCTTCCATTTGATGAGAAACTGGGTCTGTCCGCCCCTCTTCCTACAATTCAAGATAGCCTCAACCTCGTACTCTTCATTTCCTTCAACCAGCAGTGGAGCAGGCGCCTCTAGATCTCGATTGGGAAATCCACTTGGGATATGCGGTTTAAGCAAGGAGCAATGGAACACCGGGTGGATCTTCATATTAGAGGGTAGTTTCAATTCGAAAGCTATAGGGTTAACCCTTCTCTTGATAGTAAATGGCCCCAGGTATCTTGGACCAAGCTTTCTTGACGGACAACTTAATTTCAGATTTGCCGTGGATAACCAGACCTTATCCCCTTGTTTCAGTTTTAAGTTTCCTCTTCTCCTTCTGTCAAAAAATTTTTTGTTACTCGCCTGAGCTTCGGAAATAATTTTCTGCAATATTTCGTCGTTCCTCTTGAGGAACTCCATCCCTTCTTGTACTGCCGGGACAGCAGGTTCCACTGGTATTTCCGGAAGGAAGGAAGGGTGATATCCATAGTTGGAGTTAAAGGGGGATTGCTTGATAGCCAAGTGAATGGAATTATTGTAAGCGAATTCTGCTAACGGAAGGAGAGATACCCGGTCATCCTGAGAGTATGAGGAGAAGCATCGGAGGTATTGCTCCAGAGTTTGGTTCTTTCTTTCCATCTGTCCATTTGTTTGTGGGTGATATGCAGAGGAGAAGCGTAACTCGATCTCTAATGCCTCACACAGAGCTTTCCAAAATTTGGATGTCTTGGCTTTGTCAGACTTGTTCTTAAGGCAGACTGTACAAGATCTCACATAGTCCTGGCAATCCTTTATTGAGTATGGCCGCCAGAAGGAGCGAGAGACCAAATTTGAAGTCTTATGAATCCTGAAGTGGCCTGCTAAGGAGTGATTGTGGCATCTTTTGAGGATAAGAGTCCTGAGTTCTTCGGGTACAAAGATTTGTTCCTTGTGAAAATACAGACCGTCCTTTAGCTGCAGATGCATATCTATGGAAGGCGGATGATTATCCACCACTTCTCTTATTTGTGTTACAAGGTCTGTCTGTAGGAGTAGAAAATTCTTGGCTGGCAGAATCGTGTCAGGTTCAGACTGTACGATTGGGTCGGGAAACATACGGGAGAGTGCATCAGGTTTACTGTTTTTTGATCCAGGATGCTAAGTCAAATGAAAGACAAAGCGGGAGAAAAATAGCGCCCAACTTGCTTGTCGTGGCCTGAGGCATTTTGCCGTTTTCAGGTATTCAAGGTTCTTATGGTCTGTGAAGATGAGAATAGGATGGGATGCTCCCTCCAGTAAGTAACGCATTTCCTCAAGTGCTGCCTTGATGGCTAGCAGCTCTCTGTCTCCCACATCATAGTTCCTTTCAGAGACATTGAATTTCCTGGAGAAAAATGCAACCGGGTGCAAAAGTGATTTGAGTCCCTGTCTCTATGACAAGATGGCTCCTACAGCATTCTTAGAAGCGTCTACTTCGAGGACAAAGACTAGAGCAGGGTCTGGGTGCTTCAGGATAGGAGCGAAGGTGAACATGGTTTTTAATTGCTCAAAGGCTGCTTAGGCCTCGGGAGTCCACTTGAAGGGAATATGGTGCTTGGTGAGCTGTGTCACTGGTGTGATGATCCCAGAGAAGTTTTTGATAAATTTCCTGTAGAAATTTGCAAATCCTACGAAACACTGCACTGCTTTCCTATCTCCTGGAATGGGCCATTCTAAGACAGAGGAAACCTTTTGGGGGTCCATAGAGATGCCCTCGGGGGTGATCACAAGTCTGAGAAACTGGATAGATTGTCTCTCAAATTCACATTTTTCGGCTTTTGCGTAAAGGTGATGTTGGCGTAATCTATCCAGAGTTTTCTTTACGTGATCCCGATGTCTTTCTATTG